AGGACGCTTTCCGCCCTTATAACGACAGGCATGGTATAAGGGGGAGCCTCGAATTCATATTATAGTTAAATTTCAAAAACCAGTTTTATCATGAATTGTGCCTTTAAATAAATTTCTTCAAAACTCACTTGCCATTATACGATTCTAGGTTTAGACCATGGCAACCCTTCATTTTGCCGGTTAATTGCTTGAGGCATTTTGCAACACTACCTCTAGCTAGAGCTTCTACACCCCTTTTATCACTCCATTTATCTATTACTGACTGAGGCAATAAATAATCTGTTTACTCCGGATCTCTTTATACAAGAATCCAGTAGAAATCTCTCTCTAGACTCGCTCCCCTAATGCCAAATCTATAAAGATTAACATTTACATAGATTCCCTCATTTACGCCTCTTCCAAAAGCTGACCAAAACAAATAAGAGAAAACAAATAAATATCCTGATGTGATGTTTTGGTGAGATGCTATTATTCTGTCGCAGCACGCATTACAAAGATCTTTTAGGATGAGGAGTTGTAGGCCTCAAACTTTGGTCTCAAACGGGAATCAAATCCGTATTCATGCTTTCTGATCACCATACTGCTTTAATTCCTGCATAACCGAGACTCCGCTCAAATTCCCATGAATCTGCTTGGGGACCTACCATTTCTTAAGCAATATATAGAGTTTTACAAAGGGTAAAAGCTTTTGGTCCTTAATTTGTCCCGTATGAGAGATGCACCCCGCATATGACTCCCATTCAAAATCGTAGTAGCGTACTGAATGGGTACGGGGCCTACAGAGCGACTGCAAACGCTGATGTTGAAGTCAACGCTTCCAAAAGAGTCCACTACCAATTAACCTGTAGTTGAAGCCCGAAACAATGGAAGGAAGCTCATCTATTATGGATTGTACTAAGATTTCCCTAATAGGGAAATCTCGAACGATGGTCGTANGTGCTGACCACAAACAAAGAAAACTGAGCTTGTGAATCTACAAAATAAACTTGGGAGAGGTAGTTTTATATCTACTCGGATCTTAGATATTCTCTTTTTTCCAGCTCCGGATCATAAGAGAGTTTGGGCTGGTGGATTGCTCAGAGAAAAGGATCTCCCCGACCGAAACAGATCAAGTAGGATGCCGTTTATGTCAAACTTCGTCTGAGTCTTGGACCACTCAACATTAGAACAAGTTGGCCCTGAGATCAGAGGGAATATCCTCTCTTCACAAGACCTTTTGGCGATAATCTTTGATATGACTGCTGTATCATGCTCGTTCGGCGTAACTAGGTTGAATGGCAATGCTTATTAGGCCGTTATGACGTACTCTTTATGAGATCTGTTTCGAACATGAACTTTGAACATGGCTTTAGAACATCACCGGCGGTCAACAGAGCTAGTACAGGATCTAATTCAAGTGAATTCTTAAGGCGATTTGTGGAGGGCAGCATACGGGGGTCCGTCCAACTGGCAAGGAACACGAGTGCACAATCGCGAGGGTGGTCTTCTACATTCTCTGAAATAATGGATGCCCTCAAAGAGAAAATAGCATTTTCTCACATTTTTCCCTCCCTCAGCCTCAAAATAGAATCCATAGATGGATTTATGTGTATAATTCATTCATAGATTTATATCACATTCAATTCTCACTTTTCAAATGCAAAATGCAAATGGGCCTTGAATTGGTCTTCAGATGGATCGGAAATGGGTATTAGAGGAAGCAGCCGGATTAAGCAGTGTTTGACTTCGACAGACGATTTTTCTTGGATATCCTTGTCCTAGATGGGGTTGTTGTGGGCAGAAATCCATTCAGTACATGTATGTAAATAGGGCCGCCGCCGGGTGTGGTGCGTTAGGAACGAAATGGTCGCGTCGCGGTGAGAGGGGCGTCGCGCGCGAAGGAATGTAGCAGGATGCAGCAGTAGGTAAGAAATACAAGAACAAAAGTACTAATAGTAGGATTATGCATAAATAATGATGGCATATCGATTGAGCTGTATGAGGAACCCTAAAGCTGTAATTACGGCGAATGAGCGGTCCGCGACAGCCGCGTGCGGCGAATCGATTACCCAAAATCGTTCCTAACGCCCGTCTCCCGCCGCCGCCTACTGATGGTGAGTAACGCTCCTGATCTCGGTGGCTGGGAGTAGCATTTTCACCTGATTGATTTCCCCACAGTTTTGCGATTCTTCAAGGTTTTATGACGGCGATAATTACGAGTCGAGTTCTGATTCGCATCATATGACTTCTATAACCACTACCATCGCTCCAAATTTAAGATGTTCTTGGATGAAAGCTTCTAGCGTATCATTTTCGACTTCAAAGGGGCATCCAGGACATTATTGAACCATCAGACCTCGAAAATTCATTCCCGTGAGAGCAATGTTGGGTCATTACAGGCTCGGAATGAACCTTCACTCAGATGGACGACAATATTTGCAATTAATTGCAGCCATGGTGAATAACTAAACATTCATGAAACATAAGCTCTACTCAGCCATCGTCTAGACAGGATTCATGGCAGCTGTCTATTATTATTTTTCGGCTATCATCTTAGCTGAGCAACTATTACATCGTCAGCACAGAATACGAAATCTGATAGGAAAGTCCACATTGGAAGGATGGCTGCTTCTCTTCAAGGATACCGTGAGCAATCCTGATCGCCATCCAGGATTTCTCTCGGTTCTTGGAGAGAAGGNGAACTTCCACATTGGAAGGATGGCTGCTTCTCCTCAAGGATACCGTGAGAAATCCTGATCGCCATTCAGGATTTCTTTCGGTTCATGGAGAGAAGGAGCCACCTTTTCCAAGATGGGACTTCCGTAAATCCTTTTCTGAGGTGAAATCAATCGAGGGATGCCTACACTCCACTAGGAAGCACCCGTTGAGCCAGTTTATCACCCAGCGAAGTGTAGCCTCGCAGACACCTGTCTGAGCCTTCCACTCAAGCAATTAGTCGGTGAAATTGGATATGAATCCACGTATCGGGTACGTAGTATGTACCTCTTCTTACCAACAAACCCCCCGCTGCCGAATCATCGTCAGCCGAGCGACTTGTTATCAGGAAGGCAGGCCTCTAATGAACTCGTGGGAAAAACTTTGTTCTGAGGGAGCTGTTTTACGGTCTCCATAGGTGAGAAAATGCCACGAAACCGATTTTGCATTTTTTTGAAGCACTTCTCACGAAAAAGATTTTTGAGCCTGAACGATCGGGCTCTACTCTGCTTTGCAGAGTTATTATTCGAAGAATTAATGAGGTCTCACAGATCCCAGCTACATCAATTATGCGGAAAGGCAGGTCGGAAATTCTCAGGATTGTTTTGAGTATCACTTCCAGCTTTGACGTGGTAAGCTCCCGTAAAGGCAGAGGACAACGTCTGCTAATAGGGAGTCAGCTAATAGGGAACTCTTCAGTGTGGAGAGGGTGGAAAGGAGACGACGAGACTGTAAAAAACGTTTTCCGGTGGAAATTGCGTTATTTGCTAGTGGCTTGTACTTATCCGTCAAGAAAAAAAACCTCACTCTCCCCCACTTTTCCCAAATGCTGCTAAGAAGAAGTTTTGACGTAACCCCGAGAGTATGTCAGAAAGTCCGTTTACTCGATCGCCATGAGGTGAGCCAGAAAAGCCAGAAGCCATGAATGAAAATAGGCAATGACGATTTCGATCAGGTACCGGCCAGTGAGAATCCGTTAAGTTGAAAAATATAGAAACGTTCCTGTCCCTTATACTTCCTAGGAAAACTACATGTCGAAATCCACATTCGGTTGAATTTTAATGGGATTCCCTCGTTTTTCGTTCATTTTCGGACCGCTCAGAAGAGCGATTCATTAAATGGCATAGAGCGGACTACCAGAATAGATTCATTGCTGAAAGTTCCGACCGTAGTCATGGCGACGATGTTTGGAAAGACTTACCTCCCCCTCCCTCAAAATTAGAAAGACTTGAGCCATTTGTGTTGATAATATATAAACTTTTGACTTTTTTTTNNNTTTTTTTTACATATTTAATATATCTGGCGTATCCTTTTGCAATCGAGCATACTGCACGACCAAGGGCATTAGCCTATCCCGATAGCAACCCCTTCAATGGCCAACTGAAAGCCTGGTTACGAGCCTAGTGAATTAGAACGGGATTAAGTGCTCAGAAAAAGTCTGGGAGACTAGTGAGACCGAAGAAAATCGCCAAGACTGAGGGACCTCCGAGACATCCAGAGCGTGTAGGTGGGCTAGTAAAACTAAGGAAATTTTAACTTTTGAGGCCGTAGAAACCTGTGGAGGGTTCGCGGAGCTCCGAAGCGTTCAGATGACCTTGCACTACTTTCCCTTCGGTCCTGTCCTCTTTCCGGTTTCGATCAGCTGGTCAGCTCATTTTCTCAGTGCTTACCACGGCTACTATACCGATTTTTGGGGCGTTACTGGAAGAATACGTAGGAATCACTCTGTTATTCCCCATCCTTTTGTTTATCCCCTCCGTCTCCCCTGTTGGTGAATGTTAGGCTAATTTCAAGGGCAATTGCATAATTTTGGAGAGAGGAACGAGTTAGGGGATCGAGCTGCTTTATGAACCGTTCGGATAGCCAACCAGTCGCAGTTATGACAGTTTCCCAGTAGAGGCTTGAGGCAACTTTAACTTCCTAGCGAAGAAAAAGCTGCTTCACGTTAATTGGTGGTTCTGTCAAGTATGTCGAAATGAGACCCTCATCTTTTCAAATGGCAGGAGAATTTCCCCAGTCATTTCGAAGTCATGGGGGTGGGCGAATTTTCTCAACAATGAGAAGAAAAGAGACGTCAGTGCCCAGTACAAAACGTCCTATGTCCCCCTGTCACGCTATTCAGCTTCTCCGCTTCGACCAACGACGGAATTATGCATGGTCCCTAGGAGAAAAAAATCTTTGCTCTAGCACCCGCTCTCACCTCGGTCAAAGCTTCGGCTTCAGTCTTTGCTTCGGGGCATACACTGCCTTATCATAGCCGCCGTAGCCGGCCATTGCCGATGTCTGAAGAATACTAAGTAGGGAAAGAAGACCAATTTTGTCNCCCCCCCCCCCCTCCCTTCCCTCACTTCCCATGCAAAACGATGCGTCGTCCTGTTGACAAGAAAATGAGGCTAACTCGCTAGGCAGGCTGCGCTTTTGAGGCAATTACACGTTCACTTTGAAGGCATACTGACATCCAGATACCTTCTTTAAATGCACTGAAGTCAATGGGAGAGGAATGGTAATGAAGGAATTTTGATTAACCCGAAAAGTGTCTGACCAGACTCTCAAGGGATTGTCAACCTAATAGCAATGAGCCGTTTCTAATTAAAAGAAATGAAAGACATCGTCTTTACCAAACGGCAACGAATTAAAAGGTGCTCTCAGACTGTTCACAATGTTTCAGATAGCAATAATGAGATTTTCTCAAAAAAGGAAAGTTGATCGTAGAGTACCGCTGCAGAAGAGCCTCTTTATAGGATTTAGAAGGAAATTGGTATCATTTAGGATTTAAAGGAGCCTTTCATCATCATGGTATCGTCATGTATCTCCCTCGGGAGGATAATTGGCTGTAGTTACCCGACATTATCTCATGGGCCAGGAATTTCCAAGCAGAAGTCTTGTCATCCGACGGTCTGGAAAGTTTTTGTTCGACAGCTTCGCTTCTGGCTTCCATTCCTGTACTTTGATCTGTCGTGCTCACTTCCTAGCGTTTGAGCGAGGCTCTGTGCGCCTTCACGCTATCGCTGATTTATTTCATTACTTACTAATTGGTATGACGGCTTTGTTTGTCATACCCAAGGCCAAAGAGAGACCAGTAAGTGGCTCCTTGATCCCGGGCCTGGGGATTCAGATGCATTTGAATCAGTTCAGATATCTTTGCATGTCAGAAGCCTGAATTTACATTGAGACAATGAATGATAAAAGTTTTGGTTGCAGCCATTCCTTTCGAAATGCGCCCTGCATTCAAATTCATTCGGAACTGTAGTGACGCTTTGAAGGCGTACTTGGCCTATTGGCTGCTTTCATAGTCCGCCGGCCGGCCAGCGTGCCACGAGGCAGTGCTAGGGGGAGGAGGGCGGCAGACGGTCGGTCGAAGGGCTGAAAACAGACCTACAGGTACCTCCTCCCCCTACCCACACAAGGCTGATGCGTGAGCTTGATGATGGAAGGCTCGGCTGACCTTGGTGAGTCTCGAACTGGGATCCGATCTCCGGGCCATGCCACCGCGTGTTATGTTGTGCTACTCAAGAACACATCACATCCGTTCCCAAACTACTGATACTTATTAATAGTAATTAATATAATATGGAAGGTGGGAACATGGTGCAAGGCTATAATTGAACCATCCTCCGTAAATAAGACTTTTCTTTAGAATAGGGACATCTGTCCTTAGCGGAGTGTCAATGATTTCATGTTCTTCCCACATGATGAGAGAGGAATATGCTGCTTAATAAACTATCTCTTCCTTGAGGTCTGAAGAAAACGACGATAAGAATAGCCCCAAGATCTTTAAATCCTTGAAGGCTATAAGCACTAATCAGTATCTGCTTGAATTGCAGCCGTAGGATCTGTTATAAGAGCCTTTTAGCTGATCAGAGCCCTGAAAAGCCCTGCGTCATCACCCACATCATCTATTCCATCTGCTGGCTCACTTAGAACATATGGGTTCCGATGGATTCCTCATAAGGATTATTATTTGTTCTGGACCGACCAGGATACGTAAGCCCGAAGGGTTTTTCAGGAATCACAGAGGCGTTACTATAATTGGAAGGTATAATCCGGGTGCGGGTCTGAGCTCGGATGGAAGTGGAAGGAAAGGCTAAGAAAGTTTCCCGAGTCAATTTAAAGTAATTGGAGACAATTTCGGGAATACAATCGAAAACCCATCAGTTTTTCTCATCAAAGCATTACAAGTAGTAGAAAGAACCCAAGAAATTAATGAATTTCATTACCTGGATAAGTGCCGGCTCACCCACAGGACGGTTTAGGGATGGTGTCCCCTGTGCTACAAGCCAGTAAAGTTCATGCTTCAAAGGCATTTGTAGACGTGCAGAACCCATCTGGAAAGCTTTCCCAGAAATCAATTAGCCGTCCCATTTTAACGTGCAGTTCACAAGAAGAAGAAGCAAAGGAGTTAAGCGTCTCTCGTCCTACTAATTCGACTGAAAGCGCTTCAGGTGTGACTTGCAGCTTTCACTTAATCCTACCACTGAAGTAGAGTAATTTATGAAAGTGGATCGAAGTGGATTAGGAGAGCTTATCCCTAATGCGTGGGGTGCATTATCAAGCTATGAGAATAAGCTTGATATAACTTCGAAGAATCTGTATCAGTGACTTAAGCAGGTCCTATTCCGAGCCATTTCAGCGATCGGGTCTGCTTCAGTGTTCGAAGGTGCTACGAGTTCTTCTCCCAAACGGGGATGTCATCCTCTGCATGGGGAAGGGACTTGTAGTGCCTCTGTGCAGTGAAGCAAACTTCTTGGGGCTTCACCGATCAAAGGCTTCTGTGTCAGTCGGTGATGTTTATACAGCTTAAAAGCTATTGAGAAAGTATCTTAAAAAGCTCAGCGGGTCACCTAACCAACAGAGATCCGTTCAAACCCCGTCAATCAACTATTAATATTCAGTGATGTAACCGGTATCCCCTCGAGTTTTCGAATGATCTTCATTCCACTGACTAGAATGGTAACATATGTATATTCAATGTGTATCTACTATGGGAGGATTAAAGTACAAGATACAGTACCCAAAAGGTTAAGGACAAAGTCTAGTGACATTGGTCGATCCTCTCTTGAGATGTACCCCATGCATGCGACTTCCATTCAGAATCGTAGCAGCTTTTGAGTGCGTATGTCACCTGTACAGTGAATTACGATGGCTAGCCTATGTACAAGTCGGTGCTTTTATCCTACCAGACGAGCCTGGTACCAATTAATCGACCTCAGAGCGATGGAAAATCCGATTGTCTTGGGTTGGTATAGGTCTGTGATGCAACTCCTGACCATGCACGTGTGATAGTGCTCCACTTGCCCCTACACCACCTTCTCCTTTAGCAGTACAGTACCCAACATAACCTCCCCAGGTAAGGATCTCCTCCAGTTGCTGGGTGAGATAACTTGGTCCCAAATTAAGCCATAAACTCCGGAACAAAAGCTTTTCCAATGGATTATTCGAGCATTTCTTGGTTTTTCGGTAGCTCAAATGGTATGCCGTTTTAATATAATGGAACTGAATAATATAAAAGCTATTTCCCCTTGGATGAAGGCAGCTTTTGCCGCATTCATGCACCTCCTTTCACAAGAAAAACCTTCTTAATTGGATCTATTTCTGTCTGCATGTTTTGTGGCAGCATAATAATATGAAGCCCTTGCAATATTTTCCTGAATAGAAGCCCTCGCTAGGCATAAACACAAGACATACTGCTCAATGACGAATCTTGTATTCAATGTCCCAAGAAAATAGGCTCCCAGTGCTCAAACATTAAGGGCTCAGTATGAGGACAACATGAACTCTTGGAAACCATTCGGTAGAGGGAACCTAACAACATCATAGCTGTTGACAGGGAATATCCAGGCCTTGCCTTCGGTACCAAGCGAGTATTCGATCTAATGTTAAGTTTTCGGTCATAAGGAAACATGCCTGACAATAGGTTCCGATAGCGCTTCCAAGGGCGAGCCAGAAAGCGCAAAAGTTCTCTTTGTGGTCACTCAAACTTGGGATTCATCAAAAACCCCTTTGAGTTTTACCTAAGTTTCTAGATTTATCGTAAGAATTCTCTGGGAACACGCCGAAATTTTACCTTCCAACTGTTTTTCACCATTAAAGTTACAATACGAAAAATAAATCGTCTTTGAAGCATTGAATAAGCCGAATACAAGACAACGAACCGAACTTAATAAAAAAACTCGTAAAATTGGGTTGAATTTTTCCTTTTTTATTTTAGTTTTTTGGAACAACTGGAAAAGAGATCGATTGAAATCTCTACAGAAATGTCCCAATCACTTGAGAAATTCCAGAAAATTCCAGAAAGGACCAAGTTTTCAATAGTTTCCCTTGTAAACAAATCAAAAATGAAAGGATTAACAAATAAACAAGTAAGAATATGGTATAGGTGAGCGAATATTGTAGCTTCCGAATACTGTAATCTCCGTCACATACCGTATATGTACCTGCATGGATTTTCATGAGAAAATTTCCGGGAAAATTCCCAGGTAATTTCGGAAGAATAATGATTTAAAAACCTTTATTTTGCGCACAAAATGGACGTAGCAGGGCGACTTTCATTCGATTATACTATTAGTTAACATCGAATATCATAATTTGTGGGTCTTTGTTACCATTCGATGAGGTCGTTGAGATACTTTTTGGAGAATGTCTCGATGTGAAGGCATATCGCCGAGTTAATTACCGTTAGGCACAACATCGTCGAATTACTTTCGAAACAACGGAAATTTGAAAAGCTAAACTCATTCCCTCTGAAATACTGATGCTCAAGTAGAAACATTACTGTAATCCCAATGTTTACTTTGAGAACCCTTTCCAAATGGGTTTTTCATTGCAGAGGACCTACATCGACCAATTTTCCAATGCTTTTTCCCAAAAACATGGAATGTAATATGAAAGTTGAATGAAAATTAAAAGAAAAAGCACTCACTGATATCTCGGCTCGGCGTACTCTCATTGCTTTGTGCATCCGAACTTTCATTGTGATGTTTCTGTAATCGTACAGCTAAGTCGGATTGATTACTTCGTTTCAGGAACCGTTTTGGAATATGACTTTTCGGCGCTGGTAACAGACGTGGACGTATTTGATTGCATAATTCCAGTGGAAATCGTTCACTACGTAGTGAACTGTATAGATCTGGCTGTGAATGTCGAACTTTAGCTGTTTGATTGATAGCCGGTTTAGCCAAGCATGTCAAACTTTTGTTTGGTCGTAGTGGTAGTTGGCGACGTTCGAATGGTTGTAATGATGGTCCAAAAGGCATTCCACCACCAATTAACCCCGAGCCAACAGACATTGGTGTTGACATCGGGGTCTGGGGTAGGGAGAGACGGCGGCTCATGTTCAACCGCGAACAAATGCGATCTCAACGGGAGGCGGAGCATTGCTTGGCGACGAAAAAAACGCGGCAGAATGCGAGGGAGGGGGAAGTACGATGTGCCCCTTTAGTCGAAAGAGTTAGCGCCTAATTAGCCTACACGCTACGCAGTGGCCGAGATAAATACTGGCGAGGGATTAGTAGTGGACCCCATTTCGATGTAGCTCAAAGTAGTTCTCGGGGTGACCTCATCTTCTCCGTGGCCATCACTTCCAAAATGAGGTCACCTGGAGTCTTCCCAGGTAGAAATCTATGCAGAACTTCTTCCTTGCCAGTATGAAAGCTCAATTTTTCGCCCTCGTTCAAACCCTGTCACCAGCGGAGATCGTTATGCTTTTCATTGCCACCATAGGCTGTCGCCCAATTATGGGAAGAAAGGGTGGTAGATGAATGACTGGGGCATTACCCCATTTTACGACGAGCCATTTCAGAATAGCATAGGTGATTTAAAGCAGCATATATAATTTTTATGTGTGACCATGGGCAGAGAGGTGTGCAATGACAAATGGCCTACTAGCACGGAGGGGAGGATTCCGGATCGGCATCCTCTAGACCAACCAAACCTTCCATCCCTGCGGGGTCTGTTAATTGGCACCAGACTCGTCAAGAAGAACAAGAGTACGGTCCTGCACAAAGGCTGGCCACCACAAATCATTGTATCGGCCAAATACGCATTCCAAACGTCACTACGATCCTGAACAGAAGTGGATTGCGGGCGCATTCCAATGACGTAGTGGTAGCTCAGGACTTTATTCTTATCTTTCATGTGTGAGCACCAGCAAACTTCCCAATCCATGTCGCTTCCTCTCTTACGTCGGAGCCCCTACCTTATAAATAATCTCGGTAAATCTCCTGCATTAAGCGGACCGATGCGTTGTAGTGGCAAGTACATAAACTATCCCACACGTATGGTCCAGGGATAGACCTCCGGATGGGTACCAGACGTTGGTCGATTGGTAGTGGTTTGGGTATACACAAGCAGTGACTGTTACCTGCTGACTGATCAGGGGAAGTCATTATATAGGCCACATACTCATTCAAAAGGCCTTCAATCGTAAAGACGTTCCAATAACAGGACTGATTAACGCCATGGATTTAGCCTTTACTCGAACGTGCCGCTTTAGATGTTTCCCAGACGTCAATTACCTTCGAAAAAAAAAGGAAGCCATTCGTGATTCATTTAAGGCTCCAATGCTTAACTCCTCCAGACCTCATTTCCTTCGAAATCACCCCATAATGCCTCACTCCCAAGGAAGATTCTACTGTCACAGAATTTTCAGTTGGCTGTAAGGGAAGGGTTTATGAGCCCTGCAACTATTCAACAATTCCAGCACGGAACTGTTCAAAATGCATAGCATTAATCTCATTTTTTGGCAGAATGGATACCATGCATTACTAATTAGTATCATATTCTAGAGAAATGTACTAGTGAGAAATATGAAGTGTTCCACTTATTTCGATTGTCTGATCTGCAAGGTCTGATTGAAGGTTACTAGCAGGTGGCTTCAAAGGGTTACCAGCTGAAAAAAACCTTGCATAAGAGCTATTTTGAGAGCAACAGGGGCAGCTCAAAGCGTATTCACTGTATACTCGAAAGCACCAAAATGAAATACGGTCCTTCTACCCCCTTTTACTAGTTTACGGACTTTGACTGTACAGAACGAAAATGTGTATGTGAGAGTTCCAGGCAACAATCAGCCCATTTGGGACGTGGCAGGCGTAAATTCCATACACGGTGCTGGGCACAATGGAGTGCATATTCCGGGAACTCCAGATGGATCACGCTACAAAACATATATAAGCTGGATTTATAGCCCACTTTTTTTGCTGGGCGAGGAGGGGGAGTTGTTATGTAGGGGGGACATGCAGCGGTCAGAGCCTCTTTCCAGATGTGCCTCCTTCATAGGACGAATTTATCTTCGACCAGTGGTTTTTTCGATGCCGGTGGAGCGGTGCTATACTTTCTCGAGGCACCTAATCCTGCCTGGCAACGAACTACCATCTTAACCCATCTGCGGGCCTGACCAACTGCTGCCGAGTGACTATTATCATTGTTGATTTAATACAATATTAAAAAAGGTTTCTTCAATCCTGTCGAAAACTGCTCGTACGGAATTACTGTCAAAGTCGCCCGCTTTACGGTACGATCCACGATAAAAATGGCCTTCGGTATCTCTTACGATGAACCTGCGGCTTTCGAGGATAGTGCAAGAGACCTTGTTGATCCGGAAAATATCCTAGACAGGCGTAAAGAGGCTCCAAAATCCATTCGGATGAATTAAACACCCGAAAATGTGTTAGGACTCGGGCCTCGTCCACGATTAAGTCTTAGGACGCCGTTGAATAGTGCGCTCATGTAGGAGACACCCGAACGGTTACAGACGTCGGCATACTTGTTCGGAATACGCAAGTCATTCTGTCTTTTTGAGAAATTTCCAAGTCAACTTGAGAGTTGGACTGAACAGCATCATCAACTGTTTCGCCCTTAAAGGCACAGTTCACGATAACTTTGAGGTATCCCTTTTTAGCCGAAATGCGAAAGTATACGTTTGGAAAAGTTCACTAGTAGTGAAGAAGACAAGAAGATCGCCGATTTCAAAAAAAAAGAGGCTCCTCAAAAGTAGGGAAAGTAGAGGTTGGACGAGATTACTGTGACAAGAATAACATGGATGGGGTATTTGGACGAGATTTCAATTGTTGCAATTGCGCANCCCTTTTTAGCCGAAATGCGAAAGTATACGTTTGGAAAAGTTCACTAGTAGTGAAGAAGACAAGAAGATCGCAGATTTCAAAAAAAAAATGAGGCTCCTCAAAAGTAGGGAAAATAGAGGGTGGACGAGATTACTGTGACGAGAATAACATGGATGGGGTATTTGGACGAGATTTCAATTGTTGCAATTGCGCAAAGAGCTGTCTACATCAAGCAAGAATTGTACAGAGCTGCCTTTCACTGCCCCTATAGGTCATGACAAGTTGTTCGAACTTCCTGCATAGATCCCTTTTGAAGAATGCAGCCTCCACAATGCCGGTGAAACTCGTCCGAGGGTACACACGAGCCAATCTTTGAGCCTCTATAACGCCCTTAATAAACCGTTTTCCGACATGACAGACAGACATGGTATAAGAGGGGACCCCAAATCCATCCTATGGGGAAATCCCAGAAACCATTTTTATCGTGCTGTGCCTTTAATAGCCTGCAATACTAATGGCCACAATATGGGACAAAAAGTCATTTCAATCGATTACCATTTCACTAAAAGTACGTCTAGCTCTAGGGAACATTTTCTAGTGACCCAATTCTTCCCTTCTTTTTCTCTAAAATCGCCCTTCGTGTTGTGGCATCTTAAGCTGACATTCAGGTTGAACACGAGTTGGACCATGATTAGCTCAGATTGAATGGATACTCGCATGGATAAATTGAATTATCCTTTGAGGGCAGAATCAGTAGTAAAACTAAGCCGAGCTATTTTGGGCCCTCCGTTTAGTGGTTTCGTCGTTAATTTTCCATTTACTCGAAATTCCTAATCCCAATGTTTGTGGACATAGAATACAGAAAAAGGACAAAGCTATCCGACGGTGATCCATTACAATTGTGTGGTCGCGCTCTGCATTCGAATTCCATCCAGAGTCGTGGGGGTGTTTCAAATGGATATATGGTCTAGACAATGACTTCTGATGGCTAGCCGATGCACAAGTCAGTGCCTAGATCCTCCCAGGCGAGTCTGGTACCACTATATCGACGGGCGAGCATAGGTTCGGGATTGGAACCCTGGACCCTGCGTGTGTTCCAGTGGCACTATAGTTGACCTACACAATCTGTTCCCATTAATCACGGATATGTCTAAGGACTTGTAGCCATTCTTCCCTGGTTTCATTTCAAGAAAGAGGTCGACATTTCCCAAAAAACTTTCCTACCATTATTTTCTTCTTACCCACTTGGTGGAGCACATTAAGAGGTTTTCCTTCATCTGCTCCAAGATTTTTCATGGGTTTCGATGAAAGTCCACTGTGAGAGTAGTATATTTGTGTGCCCGTTGGTTGTTGTCGAAATCCCTGTTCAGTACTTCGAAGCAGCCCACAATGCGATTTATTCTGCAAAATTTGTTTTCGAAGGAAGCTCGGCTTTACAAGGTTCGATATGTGGAGTAGCCACTGCTAGTGACAGCCACATTGTTCCCGAATCAACCGAAATCCCGTGGTGGGCTCCGACAAAACCCACATTAAAATGCTTGTCAACGGGGTTATTGCGAGATTTTCCGATGGTCAGAGCCCTTCCACAGCGACAGCAGTCGATCGTGAGGCAAGATACATTACTTTTCAGAGTAAAAGTTATCACTCAGCTACTAACGCTTCACTACACTATGCTTTTCTTTCCTACAAGTTTCGGGTAGGTGTCTATGCTGCCCTTTGGATTTGGTAAACCTGCTTTTGAAAGCGTAGCATCATAGCCATCAACAGCTAATTCCCATTCTGCCTCTCTTGGATAGACTCCTTGTACTCTGAGCACGTTACTTACTATATAAGTTACTTACTGTATAAGTGCTGATTCAAACGGAGTGGGAAGGTTGACTAAAGCGGCAATGGCTTGCGTGTCTGAAAGACGAGTTGTTATGAGAGTAACCCGCCTATTAATTTACGTCATCCATCTAATTGAACAATATCTATGTTTTTGACGGAGAGATGTGCCCGATTGAATTCGTCGACCAAACGACCAGCTTTGGCATGGAGGACATCTCGCAATACGCTGAGGATATTTAATTTCATTTGGTAATAAGCCTACTTTATCGTCGAAAATTTAAAATTGTGGAATGGGAATCCGGTGGGGACAAAACCCTTCACTCTTACGAAACGAATATAACAACAGTGGAAACTAATCTGAACGAATAGCTTGAGGGATAGCCAATGTGACTCGCCTTTTA